TTCTTGATGAGTCTGGCTAAAGGTTTATCAATTTTATCTTTTCAAAGAACCAGCTTTTAGTTTCATTGATCTTTGCGATTGTTTTCTGTCTCTGTTTTATTTATTTCTGCTCAGACCTTCATGATTTTTTTTTTCTACTAACTTAGTGTTTCCTTCTTCTTTCTCTAGTTGTTTTAGGTGTAAGTTAGGTTGTTTGAGATTTTTCTTGTTTCCTGAGGTAAGATTGTATTGCTGTAAATTTCCTTCTTAGAGCTGCTTTTGCCACATCCTATAGGTTTTGGATTCCCGTGTTTTCATTGTCTTTTATCTCTAGTTATTTATTTATTCACTCTTTGATTTATTCAGTGATCCATTGGTTGTTTAATAACATGTTGTTTAGCCTCCATGTGTTTGTATTGTTATTTTTTTAAAGTTCTTTCTGTTATTGATTTCTAATCTCATAGTGTTGTGGTCGGAAAAGATGCTTGATATGATTCCAATTTTCTTAAATCCACCAAGACTTGCTTTGTGGCCCAGCATGTGACCTGTCCTGGAGAATGTTCCATGTGCACTTGAGAAGAATGTGTATTCTGCTGCTTTTGGATGGTCTAGCGTGTTACTTATGGCCTGGGTTTTCTTACTGATTTTCTGTCTGGATGATCTGTCATTGATGTAAGTGGGATGTTAAAGCCCCCTACTATTACTGTGTTACTGTCAATTTCTCCTTTTATGGCTGTTTGCATTTGCCTTACATGTTGAGGTGCTCCTGTGTTGGGTGTATATATATGTTTACAATTGTTATATTTTCCTCTTGGATTTACCCCTTGATCATTAGGTAGTGTCCTTCTTTGTTTCTTGTAACAGTCTTTATTTTAAAGTCTATTTTGTCTGATATGAGTATTGCTACTCCAGCTTTCTTTTGATTTCTATTTGCATGGGATACCTTTTTCCATCCCCTCACTTTCAAACTGTATGTGTCCCTAGATCTGAAGTGGGTCTCTTGTAGACAGCGTATATATGGGTCTTGTTTTTGTATCCATTCAGGCAGTCTTTGTCTTTTGTTTGGAGCTTTTAAACCATTTCCACATAAGGTAATTCTCGATATGTATGTTCTTATTGCCATTTTGTTAATTGTTTTGGATTTGTTTTTGTAGGTCTTTTTTCTTCCCTTCTTCTTTTGTTCTCTTGTGATTTGATGACTATCTTAGTCTTGTGTTTGGATTGCTTTGTGTGTGTGTGTCTGTTGTATCTATTGTAGATTTTTGGTTTGCGGTTCCCATGAGGTTTTGGTAAAGCAGTCTGTATATTGAATATATACAAGATTGTTTTAAGTTGCTGGTCTCTTAAGTTCAAACACACTTCCTATATCCTGCATCTGTACTTTCCTCTTCTCACGATGGCTGGTTTTGATATCATATTTGTGTGTGGGTCATTTCCTACGTTTTCTGTGTGTTTGCCTTTACTGGTGAGCTTTCCCATTCATAATTTTCTTGTTTCTAGTTGTGGCCTTTTCCACCTAGAGAAGTTCCTTTAGCATTTGTTGTAAAGCTGGTTTGGTGGTGCTGAATTATCTTAGCTTTTGCTTGTCTGTAAAACTTCCGATTTCTCTTTCGAATCTGAACGAGAGCCTTGCTGGGTAGAGTATTCTTGGTTGTAGCTTTTCCCTTTCATTACTTTAAGTGTATCGTGCCACTCACTTCTGGCCTGCAGAGTTTCTGCTGAAAAAACCTTATGGGGATTCCCTTGTATGATACTTGTTGCTTTTCCCTTGTTGCTTTTAATATTTTCTCTTTGTCTTTAATTTTTGTCAGTTTCGTTAATATGTGTCTTGGCATGTTCCTCCTTGGGTTTATCCTGTATGGGACTCTCTGCACTTACTGGACTTGAGTGAGTGTTTCCTTTCCCATGTTAGGGAAGTTTTCGGCTATAATATCTTCAACTATTTTCTTGGACCCTTTCTCTCTCTCTTCTTCTAGGAGTTCTATATTGTGAATGTTGATGTGTTTCATGTTGTCTCAAAGGTCTGTGAGGCTGTCCTTATTTCTTTTCATTCTTTTTTCTTTATTCTGGTCTGTGGCAATAATTTCCACCACTCTGTTGTCCAGCTCATTTATTCATTCTTCTGCCTCATTTATTCTGCTGTCGATTCTTTTCAATGTAGTTTTCATTTCAGTTATTGTGTTGTTCGTCTGTTTGTTCTTTAAATCTTCTAGCTCTTTATTAAACATTTCTTGTGTCTTCTCGGTCTGTGCCTCCATTCTTTTTCTGAGATCTTGGGTCATCTTTACTATAATTACTTTGAATTCTTTTTCAGGTAGCTTGCCTATCTCCACTTCATTTAGTTCTTCTGGGTTTTTATCTTGTTCCTTCATCTGGCACATATTTCTTTGTCATCTCTTTTTGTCTAACTTTCTGTGTTTGTGGTCTCCTTTCTGCAGGCTGCAGGATTGTAGTTCCTCTTGTTTTTGGTGTCTGCCCTTGGTAGGTGAGGTTGGTGCTGGGCTTGTGCTGGCTTCCTGGTGGGAGGGACTGGAGCCAGCCCTCTGGTGGGTGGAGCTGGGTCTTGTCCCTCTGGTGGACAGACCCATGTCAGGGGGTGTGCTTAGAGGTAACTGTGAGCTCATTACAACTTTAGGCAGCCTGTCTGCTGATGGGTGGGGCTGTGTTTCCCCTGCTGGTTGTTTGGCCTGAGGCATCCCAGCACTAGAGCCTGCTGGCTGTTGGGTGGGGCCAGGTCTTGGTGCCAAGATGGTGACCTGCAGGAGAGCTCACGTTGATCATATTCCCTGGGGCCTCTGTCACCAGTGTCCTTGCCCCCACAGTGAGCCACCGCTGATCCCTGCCTCCCCAGGAGACCGTCCAAGACCCGCAGATATGTCTGTCCCAGGCTCCTGTGGAGTCACTGCTTTGTGCTGGGTCCCGTTGCCCACGAAATCTTGTGTGTGCCCTCCAGGAGTGGAGTCTCTTGTTTCCCCCAGTCCTGTGGAGCTCCTGCACTCAAGCCCTGCTGGCCTGGAAAGCCAAGAGCTCTGGGGGCTCTTCCTCCTGAGGCCAGACCCTCAGGCTGGGGAGCCTGACGTGGGGCTCAGAATTCTCACTCCTGTGGGAGGACCTCTACCATATAATTATTTTCCAGTTTGTTGGTCACCCACCTGGCGGGTATGGAATTTGATTATATTGTGAAAGTGCCCCTCCTGCCATCTCGTTGTGGCTTCTTCTTTGTCTTTGGGTGTAAAATATCTTTTTTCGTAGGTTCCGGTCTTTTTAAAAAAAATTTGCTTGCTTGTTTGTTTGTTTACTTATGGCTGAGTTGGGTCTTTGTTGCTGCGCACAGGCTTTCTCCAGTTGTGGTGAGTGGGGGCCACTCTTCATTGCAGTGTGTGGGCTTGTCATTGTGGTGGTTTCTCTTGTAGCGGAGCATGGGCTCTAGGTGTGCGGGCTTCAGTAGTTGTGGTTCACGGGCTTTAGTAGTCGTGGCTTGTGGGCTTCAGTAGTTGTGGCACGAGGGCTCAGTAGTTGTGGCTCGCGGGCTCTAGAGCGCAGGCTCAGTAGTTGTGGCACACGGGCTTAGTTGCTCCACGGCATGTGGGATCTTGCCAGACCAGGGCCCGAACCCGTGTCCCCTGCATTGGCAGGTGGATTCTTAACCACTGCACTACCAGGGAAGCCCTCCAGTCTTTTTTGTTGATAGTTGTTTAGCAGTTAGCTGTGATTTTGGAGTTTTCTTGAGAGGAGGTGAGCGCGACCCTCTACTCTGCCATCTTGTCTGGCTTTGAGGGGTTGCTTTCAGTCTGGATGCTTGCTGCCTCCTTCCTCAGTGTGTGCTGGACGTTATCCCCTTGATACGGGGTGTGCAGGTGCGGGGGCCCGTGCGCTTCTGCTGTGGCGGGGACGGCGATCAGCCCCTCTTGGTCTCCCTGCAGTGGCCGTGGCCCCTGAGCCTTTTGGGCAGTGGGGGCAGCGATTGGCCCCTGCTCCCAGTTCTCGTAGTGGCGGTGGCAGCCCGCATGCTCCCACGAGGGCACAGTGACTGGCGCCTGCTGGCGGGTCTCTTGGTGGTGGTGGCCCATGCCCTCCGGAGACAGTGCAGGCAGCACTTGGCACCTCTTCGTGGGTCTTGTGGTGGCAGCGGCAGCCCGTGCACTCCTGGGGCAGCAGGGGCAGCGCTTGGGGCCTGCTCGCGGGCTTCGTGGTCGTGGCCTGTGCACTTCCAGGACAGCAGGGGGCAGCGCTTCGGGTCTGCTTGTGTGTGTCTTAGCAGTGGCGATGGCCCATGCCCGCCTCTAGAGCCCATGATGGTGGTGGCGGCTAACACCCAGCTCAGAGCTCGTGTAGGTGGTATCCCGTTGACTGAGAGCACGTGTACAAGGAAGGAAGCTTTTATGGTGGTCCGGCTTCTCTCCTTACATGCCCCCCAGCAATGGCGCCTTGCCTCTCTGACAGGCCCAGGCTTCTTCCGAGCACACCCCCAGTTGCCACAGTGCAGCCTCTTCAGGCTGTCTCCGTGTGCCAGCTCTGGTCCTCTCCCTGGGTCTGACCTCCGAAGCCCAAGCTTCAGCACCCAGCCGCCCCCCGTGCCTGTGGATGAGTGTCTCAGGCTGGGGGGTGCAGGGCAGCTGTACCGACGGTCTGTGCAGGGCACTCTCCGTGTTGCCTTCCGCGAACTGGCTGTTAGCTCCCCTCAGGCTTCAGAGCTCCCCGTCTGTCCAGGCTGATCTCCCTGATGATGAGTGGACTTCCCACGGTGCAGCAACCTTTCCTCCTTCACAGCTCCCTCTCTGGGGTGTAGGTCCCGTCCCAACTCCTTTCACTTTTTTTTCTTTTTCCTTTTGTTCTACCCAGTCATGTGGAGGTTTTCTTGTGCTTTCGGGGGTCTGAGGTCTTGTGCCAGCGTTCCGTAGATGTTCTGTGCAAGTCGTTCCCCTTGTACATGTATTTTGGTGTTTGTGGGAGGAGGTGAGCTCCACGTCCTACTCTTCCGCCGTCTGCCAAGCTCCTCTTTTTTTGTTGTTCAATTTTAGATCACCAGGCGGTCCTTCAGGACGGAGTGGACATCGGATGGTGGCCTGGAAGAGACAGTTAATCCTTTTTGGTGGCTTCCATGAGAGTACAAGGTCAGTACAAACAGGGGGACCATGTCTCCTGGAGCTGTAAGGAGTGGGCTCCTTATGTGAAGAACCGTTCTGAATACACGTGGAAAATGCTGCCCATCCCTTAAACCAGGGCCAGCGGCCTGGGCAGCTGCAGAGGAGGGCCCTGGGCTTGGTTTAATGCTCTGTTGTCACTGTCGTGGGATTCTTCATAATTACTGAACAGAGGTTCCCACAGTTTTATTTTGCACCAAGGCCTGCAAGTAATGTGGCCGATCCTATCTAAGATGGGCTCTCAAACTTCAGCCTATTGAGAATCCTCTGAAAGGCTTGTTCAGACTGATCTGTGACTCCATTGGGCTGAGAATCTGCATTTCTTCAGCCTCCAGGTGATGCTGCTGGCCAGGGAACCCCACTTTGAGAAGCACGAGGCTAAAATAACTTGAAACTCCGCCCGATGGGGAGCATGTGGCAGCTTGCATCCTGCAGAGGGACCTGAGGGGACATCCAGCTCTGCTGTGCCTGGTTGTGTCGCCACAGTGCTTATGTGCCTAGCCTGGCGGCATGCTCTCCGGGGGTTCTTAGCCCATCATCTATACTGATACTTTCTTGAATGTCCTTATTAGTTCAGTCCAGAAAAAGAAGACACTTGGTGAACAGGTTAGTTCCTGCCACTGTCGTAAAACGCTAAGGCTCTGGGTGAGACATCCAGACCGCTCTGATGCCTGGTGCAGGCCCCGCAGGTGGTGCGTTTCCTCTGACCTCGGGCCGTGTCAGACAAGGTGGGTGGATGGCTTTCTCCCTGGTGCCTCGTTTCACAAGCTCCTTTGTTCCCTACTCCTTTAAAAAATAACATACTCGTCAACTCGTTGTGGTGGCAGCACACACACTTTTTTCAGTGTGACTCCATTGGCACACTTTTTTTGTTTTTTTTTTGCGGTACGTGGGCCTCTCACTGTTGTGGCCTCTCCCGTTGCGGAGCACAGGCTCCGGACGCGCAGGCTCAGCGGCCATGGCTCACGGGCCCAGCCGCTCCGCGGCATGTGGGATCTTCCCGGACCGGGGCACGAACCCGCGTCCCCTGCATCGGCAGGCGGACTCTCAACCACTGCGCCACCAGGGAAGCCCCTGGCACACATTTTTTATGATACTCACTGGCTCGTGAAAATAAGTCCTTGCACGTATATGTGGAGAGAGTGGCGCTCCGTACGTTAACGGGAGCGAGCGTTTCTGTGTTCACTGTTCCCTACCCGAGCTGAGGCATCCTGGTGTCGATCTGGCTCAGTTAAGGTTTCAGGTTTTTTTCACGAACAAAAAATATTTTCATTAGTTGAGAAAAGGGGATATAATTCTTTTTTCTTTTAATTCTTTTTTAACATCTTTATTGGAGTTTAATTGCTTTACAATGGTGTGTTAGTTTCTGCTGTATAACAAAGTGAATCAGCTATACATATATCCCCATATCTCCTTCCTCTTGCGTCTCCCTCCCACCCTCCCTATCCCACCCCTCTAGGTGGTCACAAAGCACCGAGCTGATCTCCCTGTGCTATGCGACTGATTCCCACTAGCTATCTGTTTTACATTTGGTAGTGTATATATGTCCATGCCACTCTCTCACTTCATTCCAGCTTACCCTTCCCCCTCCCCATGTCCTCAAGTCCATTCTCTATGTCTGCATCTTTATTCCTGTCCTGCCCCTAGGTTCTTCATAACTTTTTTTTTTTAGATTCGATATATATGTGTTAGCATACAGTATTTGTTTTTCTCTTTCTGACTTACTGCACTCTTGAGTGACAGACTCTAGGTACATCCACCTCACTACAGATAACTCAGTTTCGTTTATTTTTATGGCTGAGTAATATTCCATTGTATATATGTGACACATCTTCTTTATCCTTTCATCTGTTGATGGACACTTAGGTTGCTTCCATGTCCTGGTGATTGTAAATAGTGCTGCAGTGAACATTGTGGTACATGTCTCTTTTTGAATTATGGTTTTCTCAGGGTATATGCCCAGTACTGGGATTGCTGGGTCATATCGTAATTCTCTTTTTAGTTTTTTAAGGAACCTCCATACTGTTCTCCATAGTGGCTGTATCAATTTACATTCCCACCAACAGTGCAAAAGGGTTCCCTCTTCTCCACACCCTCTCCAGCATTTATTGTTTGTAGATTTTTTGATGATGGCCATTCTGACTGGTGTGAGGTGATACCTCATTTGTAGTTTTGATTTGCATTTCTCTAGTGATGAATGATGTTGAGCATTCTTTCATGTGTTTGTTGGCAATCTGTATATCTTCTTTGGAGAAATGTCTATTTAGGTCTTCTGCCCATTTTTGGATTGGGTTATTTTTTTGATATTGAGCTGCATGAGCTGCTTATAAATTTTGGAGATTAATCCTTTGTCAGTTGCTTCATTTGCACATATTTTCTCCCACTCCTGAGGGTTGTCTTTTCGTCTTATTTATGGTTTCCTTTGCTGTGCAAAAGCTTTTAAGTTTCATTAGGTCCCATTTGTTTATTTTTGTTTTTATTTCCATTTCTCTAGGAGGTGGGTCAAAAAGCCTCTTGCTGTGATTTATGTCATAGAGTGTTCTGCCTATGTTTTCCTCTTAAGAGTTTGATAGTTTCTGGCCTTACATTTAGGTCTTTAATCCATTTTGAGCTTATTTTTGTGTATGTTATTAGGGAGTGTTCTAATTTCATTCTTTTACATGTAGCTGTCCAGTTTTCCCAGAACCACTTAAAGACTGTCTTTTCTCCATTGTATATTCTTGCCTCCTTTATCAAAAATAAGGTGACCATATGTGTGTGGGTTGATCTCTGGGCTTTCTGTTGATGTATATTTCTGGTTTTGTGCCAGTACCGGACTGTCTTGATTACTGTAGCTTTGTAGTGTAGTCCAGAGTCAGGGAGCCTGGTTCCTCCAGGTCTGTTTTTCTTTCTCAAGATTGCTTTGGCTATTCGGGGTCTTTTGTGTTTCCATACAAATTGTGAAATTTTTTGTTCTAGTTCTGTGAAAAATGCTACTGGTAGTTTGACAGGGATTGCACTGAATCTGTAGATTGTTTTAGGTAGTATAGTCATTTTCACAATGTTGATTCTTCCAATCCAAGAACACGGTATGTCTCTCCATCTGTTTGTATCATCTTTAATTTCTTTCATCAGTGTCTTATAGTTTTCTGCATACAGGTCTTTTGTCTCCTTAGGTACGTTTATTCCTAGGTATTTTATTCTCTTTGTTGCAGTGGTAAATGGGAGTGTTTCCTTAATTTCTCTTTCAGAGTTTTCAAAATTAGTGTATAGGAATGCCAGAGATTTCTGTGCATTAATTTTGTCTCCTGCTACTTTACCAAATTCATTGATTAGCTCTACTAGTTTTCTGGTAGAGTCTTTAGGATTCTCTATTTATAGTATCATGTTATCTGCAAACAGTGACAGCTTTACTTCTTTTCTGATTTGGATTCCTTTTATTTCTTTTTCTTCTCTGATTGCTGTGGCTAAAACTTCCAAAACAATGTTGAATAATAGTGGTGAGAGTGGGCAACCTTTTTTGTTCCTGATCTTAGTGGAAATGGTTTCAGTTTTTCACATTGAGAACGATGTTGGCTGTGGGTTTGTCATATATGGCCTTTATTATGTTGAGATAAGTTCCCTCTATGCCTACTTTTTGGAGGGTTTTTTATCATAAATGGGTGTTGAATTTTTTCAAAAGCCTTTTCAGCATCTATTGAGATGATCATGTGGTTTTTATCCTTCAATTTGTTAATATGGTGTATCACATTGATTGATTTGCGAATATTGAAGAATCCTTGCATTCCTGGAATTAACCCCACTTGATCATGGTGTATGATCCTTTTAATGTGCTGTTGGATTCTGTTTGCTGGTATTTTGTTGAGGATTTTTGCACCTGTGTTCCTCAGTGATATTGGCCTGTAGTTTTCTTTCTTTGTGACATCTTTGTCTGGTTTCGGTATCAGGGTGATGGTGGCCTCGTAGAATGAGTTTGGGAGTGTTCCTCCCTCTGCTATATTTTGGAAGAGTTTGAGAAGGATAGGTGTTGCTCTTCTCTAAATGTTTGATAGAATTCGCCTGTAATCTATCTGGTCCTGGGCTTTTGTTTGTTGGAAGGTTTTTAATCACAGTTTCAATATCACTGCTTGGCGTTGGTCTGTTTATATTTTCTATTTCTTCCTGGTTTAGTCTCGGAAGGTTGTGCTTTTCTAAGAATTTGTCCATTTCTTCCAGGTTGTCCATTTTATTGGCATACAGTTGCTTGTAGTAATCTCTCATGATCCTTTGTATTTCTGCAGTGTCAGTTGTTACTTCTCCTTTTTCATTTCTAATTCTATTGATTTGAGTTTTCTCCCTTTTTTTCTTGCTGAGTCTGGCTAGTGGTTTATCAATTTTGTTTATCTTCTCAAAGAACGAGCTTTTAGTTTTATTGATCTTTGCTATTGTTTCCTTCATTTCTTTTTCATTTATTTCTGATCTGATCTTTATGATTTTTTTCCTTCTGCTATCTTTGGGGTTTCTTTGTTCTTCTTTCTCTAATTGCTTTAGGTGTAAGGTTGGGTGGTTTATTTGAGATGTTTCTTGTTTCTTAAGGTAGCATTGTATTGCTCTAAACTTCCCTCTTAGAACTACTTTTGCTGCATCCCATAGGTTTTGGGTCGTCGTGTTTTCATTGTCATTTGTTTCTAGGTATTTTTTGATTTCCTCAGTGATCTCTTGGTTATTAAGTAGTGTATTGTTTAGCCTCCATGTGTTTGTATTTTTTACAGATTTTTTCCTGTAATTGATATCTAGTCTCATAGTGTTGTCATCGGAAAAGATACTTGATACGATTTCAGTTTTCTTAAATTTACCAGGGCTTGATTTGTGACCCAGGATATGATCTGTCTTAGAGAATGTTCCATGAGCGCTTGAGAAGAAAGTGTATTCTGTTGTTTTTGGATGGAATGTCCTATAAATATCAATTAAGTCCGTCTTGTTTAATGTATCATTTAAAGCTTGTGTTTCCT